TTTTTTTTTTTTTTTTTTTTTGGAATCAAAGGAGATATAATTTTTAAGAACCTATTTTTATCCATATAATTTGATTAAAAATTGAAATAATTTTTTTTAAGAAATATGAAAATTATTATAAGAAAATTGGGAGAGAAAAAATTACAAAATCAATAAACTAAAAATCAAAACCATTAATTTTTTAAAAACAATTGATTATCAACAAATTTATTTTGAAATTATTGGTTCAGCTCGAGGGGATTTTTCTCTCCAATCATAAAATGTCCGAATTTATTTTAAAAAATAAATAAAAAGAGGGAAAATTAGGAGTGGAAGCAACAACGTAATCTTGGAGCTGGGAGGAATTAAAACTAATCCTTGATATAACTAACAAGAACATGGCTACATCAACGTAACCCAAATGAATTTTCTATCGGTATTAATTAAGTTGATATGGAGCCATAACACTATTAACAGCATGGCAAGCCAAACACTAATGACATGATCATTTACAAATATAGAGGAAAGAAGAGACCGACCTTTCATCTATATGTCTGCACCATCCGACAAACCTTCTCCGACACCGTTACTCGTTTCTTCGGGGTATGGTGAATGCCTTGGTTTCTTGGCAGGGGGTTCCTCGTCTAAGTTCACCTCTGTAATTGAAACAACCACTGGCAAATCATCGTGTTCGACATCTGTTTTGGTTGCTTCATCTAGACATGGTGATGCAACGAGAGTGTCGTCTTCACACAGGGGTTCGGAATCGTTACTTCCCATGTTAGTATCTTGAGAGATGACGATGGTATCGACATCTTGCACCGTGGTAGCAGCAGAAGTAGGGCGTTCTGTTACAGGTTCTAGATTCTCCTGCTCATGCGATAGAGGTCTTTTCCTGTTCCTATCTTCCTTGTTACCAGGACTTGCTTCCCTAACATCGCAACTTTCGATGATTCCCACATCTTCCAAGTCCTCTGCCGAGGACGAGGCAATGCCCCGACCACGTTCTGGTTGAATAGACATGCACAAGTCAAAAGAAGCCTTGGATTCAAGGCCAATCGATGAACATGGAAATCGACAAGCTTGAGATGCCATTGCATCAATTGGCTGCAAACCGTCCTGTACCGGAGGCAAGAACATGAAACGGTCTCCAGTTTCTGCATCTGCGTCATCCTATAGTGAGAAAATTTGATACCATCAGAGCAGGCAGCATACTTGCAATTGTTATCAACTGGAGGGTTTGAAACTGGTATCATCTAGAACTAACGTACAAGAGTTGCTTGAAGGAGGTAAGGACATATTTTTGTCCATTTTCCCTGGTGTTTCTCAACATTGACATCATCAAGATCCATACATTATTTCTTTTATAAATAGCCGAACTTTCCTTAAAAAATATATGAAAGAATACAAACTTTCAAAAAATTCATAAAAGAGAGAAGCCCCTAAATAAAGAGCCTCAATCAAGCAAAATAATAATGCATGATCATACATTATTACCAAGCATAGTTGGTGTGTGTGTGTATATAATATGTATATATGGATATGTATGTGTATGTGTATGTGTATGTACGTATGTACGTATATATGTGTGTACGTATATCTATGTGTATGTGCATGTGTATATACGTGTGAATATACCTATATGTATTGTGTGTGTGTGTGTATATATATATATATATATATATATATATATATATTGTGTGTGTATATATATATATGTATGTACATGCATACATGTGTGCGCGCGTGTGTATGTATATATATATATATATATATATATATATATCTAGGTATGTACATATATGTATGAATATATACTTGCCTATGTGAAGAAACACAAAAACTAAATGTGTAAGAGACTGCGTTAATTTGCTTCTTTAATTGTTTGACTATAAATTAAATTCAACGAGCTCCTGCTTATTTAACATAAGGTAATGCTCCCAATTTTCTTAGATAATTTGAGAAGCTAACATACCTCCAGCACAGTAGCATTTGTATCAAAATACGATGATGTCTGGGCAAAAGATTGATAGTCTCCAAGTAATGACCCATTAGAGGCACCTGGTTCAAATAATTCTCTGACAACCAAGCCAGAACCGTCAATAAAGTGGTTGGGTCTACTCGAAGATTCAGATAATAGAGTAATTTCAATCCCATCGACAGCTTGTGAGCTTGACAAATTGTGATTGCATGCCACTGCTGGGCTTCCTCTTTCCAGAAGAAGCTCCACGCCAGTTTCATCCTCATTATTGGATGGAAATTTAGATAAAAGTTCATCACTACATGCAGCTGTGGACATTTCTCGAGACCGGTTTTCGAGGATTTCAAAAATTAATCTCTGTATTAAAGTTCGCTTGAGGTAAGCCTCAGCAGGTGGGAACCAATCCACATTAAGCTGGGGAGATTCATTAAAAAAACAATCACATTATTAACGCCCAATTCAAAAAAATAAAAGCAGATCCAAGGAATATTAACCATGTTTTATGCAATAACTCCGATAGACTAAACACACACACACATGAGATGCAGAATAAACTTCAAAACTATTGTCCTTTTTCTTTTTTCTTTTTTTTTAACAAAGAAACAATAATGATAAACAAGTGTAAGAATTTATCTCAAGTCTCAAACTGTGACACATGTCAATTGACCAACTTAGGACAAGTCATATGAACAGTGAATGTGCCGTGTAAAGTTGATCTGAGAGTCAGTAATGCTTTCAACGAGGGGGGGATCAGAGACTGTACAAACATGGCATTTCACACTGCTAGTTCAATTAACAAAATAAAAGATCCCACACCTCTCTTCCCCAAGGAAAAGTAAAAGATCTTTAGCAGGATGAAGAGTGAAAATTTGATACATGTGGAAAAAGGTTTCAATGCTGATGCACAATCTAATTCGGGAAGGGACTTGATCGAGAAGAAATGAAATGAACATGAGAACAAGACTTCATTGGACAGCATCAATAAAGAGAAGAAAATTAAGCATTATAAATTAGAGATAAACCATAAGAAATATAAACTCAATCTCAGGAATCTTTTCTGCAACTCACAAAAATTATTGAGAACACTCGTGTTTTATCAATTTAAATTGATGGCTCTTTCTCTTAGACTCTCCAATTTAGGCTCTCATCCCATAGGCCTTAGGCTGTGTTCTCTTTGTTGATAATTGTCACTTAAGAAATGATTGAGAAAGTTATTTTTACTAGTACTGGTGTTTTGCAAGGAAAAAAAATTATTAGGTTGAGGCAGTTAACTAGGGACTTTATTATATTTAACAATTGCAAAAGTTGAAACTCTCCAAAAAAAAAAAAAAAAAAAAAAAAAAAAAAAAAAAAAAAAAA